GGGAGTTGAACAAGCTGACGGTCAAGAACCGTTACCCGTTGTCGAGGATCGACGATTTGTTCGACCAGTTGCAGGGAGCATCTTGGTTCTCCAAGATCGATTTGAGGTCTGGATACCATCAGGTGAGGGTACGAGATGAGGACGTCCAGAAGACAGCGTTTATGACGCGTTATGGGCATTATGATTTTGTTGTGAGGCCTTTCGGGCTCACCAATGCTCCGGCAGTGTTCATGGATCTCATGAACCGGGTATGCAGGCTGATGTTGGATCAGTCGGTGATCGTATTTATTGATGACATTTTGGTATATTCGATATCTAGGGAGCAGCATGATGAGCATTTGAGGGAGATCCTCGGAGTTCTGAGATCGGAGAGGCTTTATGCCAAATTCTCCAAGTGTGATTTCTGGTTGCGAGAGGTCCAGTTCCTAGGACATCTTGTTAACCAGGATGGGATATTGGTCGATCCGGCCAAAGTGGAGGCATTGATTAGTTTGGAGGTGCCGAGATCACCCTCCGAGATCAGGAGTTTTCTAGGGTTGGCGGGTTATTATCAGAGATTTATCAGGGATTTCTCTAAGATCGCAGTGTCACTCACTAGGTTGACCCGGAAGGGTGTTTCTTTTTCATGGGGCCCCGAGCAGCAGGCCTCCTTTGAGACGCTTCGCCAAAGGTTATGCGAGGCCCCGGTGTTAGCCCTCCCGGAGGGAATGAAGGACTTTGTTGTATACTGCGATGCATCGATTTTGGGGTTGGGAGCGGTACTGATGCAGAGAGGGCATGTGATAGCGTATGCATCGAGGCAGTTGAAGCCTTATGAGTCGAGGTATCCCACCCATGACCTAGAGTTTGGGGCAGTGGTGTTCGCCCTCAAGATTTGGCGTCATTATTTGTATGGGGTTCGGTGTACGATATACACGGACCATAAGAGTCTGAAGTATTTGATGGATCAACCCAACCTAAATATGCGGCAGAGGAGGTGGTTGGATGTGGTTAAGGATTATGATTGTGAGATCCTGTACCATCCGGGCAAGGCTAATGTGGTAGCCGGTGCCCTGAGTTGTCGGGTGGAGAGTGCCCCGTTGCGAGGTGTATGTTTGCGGTTGACCGTGATGACTCCGGTGTTGGACACCATTCGAGGAGCACAGGCTGAGGCAGTGAGGTCGGAAAACCAAAAGAGAGAGCGAGTTGTTGGATTGGTATCAGAGTTCGTTACCGATGGTCGGGGGCTCATGACTTTTCAGGGGCGTATTTGGGTACCGTTCGTAGGAGGTGCGCGTGCCATTTTGATGGAAGAGGCCCATCGGTCGAAATTCTCGATCCATCCTAGGGCCACTAAGATGTATTTGGATTTGAGGAAGGAGTATTGGTGGCCCTGTGTGAAGAGAGATGTTGCGTGGTTCGTTGAGAGGTGCTTAACCTGCCGTAAGGTTAAGGCCAAACATCAGAGGCCGCATGGTAAGTTGCAGCCATTGGAGGTTTCCGAATGGAAGTGGGAACAGATCACCATGGATTTCATCACCAAATTTCCAAGGACTGCTCGGGGAGTTGATGCAATTTGGGTGATTGTGGACAGGTTGATGAAGAGCGCTCACTTCCTTGCCATCAGTGAGAGTTCTTTCGCAGAGAAGTTAGCAGAGATATATGTGAGGGAAGTGGTATCTCGACATGGGGTGCCAATCTCGATTGTCTCCGACCGAGATGTGCGTTTCACTTCCAGGTTCTGGAAGAAGTTCCATGAGGAGTTGGGTACTAGGCTACATTTTAGTACCGCATATCACCCCCAGACAGACGGACAGAGTGAGCGGACGATTCAGACCCTCGGGGACATGCTCTGAGCATGTGTATTGGATTTCGGGGGAAGTTGGGATACGTATTTGCCGTTGGCCGAGTTTTCTTACAACAACATCCATCATTCGAGCATCCGTATGCCACCCTTTGAGCTGTTGTACGGGAGGAAGTGTCGGACCCCCATTTGCTAAGGAGAAGTCGGGCAGCGTGTTATGGGCAACACAGAGATAGTGCTTCAGACGACAGAGCAGATCCAACAGGTCAGACGGAGGTTACTGACTGCTCAGAGTCGACAGAAGAGTTATGCGGACAGACGCCGGTCCGAACTTGAGTTCCTGGTCGGTGATTTTGTGATCCTGAAGGTCTCTCCTTGGAAGGGAGTGATCCGATTCAGGAAGAGGGGCAAGTTGGGGCCCCGATATATCGGACCATTTCGGGTAGTCGCGAGGGTAGGCAGGGTAGCCTATCGCTTGGATTTGCTAGCAGAGTTGGGGCAGATTCATGACACTTTCCATGTGTCGCAATTGCGAAAGTGTATAGCCGATGAGTCGGCAGTGGTTCCACTAGATGATATTCAGGTGGATGCGAGCTATGTTGAGAGACCAGTGGTCATCAGAGATCAGAAAATCAAAGTTTTGAGGAACAAGGAGGTACCTTTGGTCTTGGTTCAGTGGCAGCATTGGAAGGGGTCCGAGATGACGTGGGAACCGGAGCGTGAGATGCGAGAGCAGCATCCGGAGTTATTTGCAGAATGAGACTTCGAGGGCGAAGTCTAGTTCTAGTGGGGGAGAATTGTAACAGTGGAATTTCCAGGTATTTATTTGTGGCTTATTTTTGGGAATTGTGAGTGGACTCGGCGAGTTGGAGCTCAAACTCGCCGAGTAGGATCGCGGTATTAGGCACGGGTTCGCGTCCGGACTCGGCGAGTCCACGCTGTGTGGTGAAACCCTAATTTCCAGGGTTTGAGACCTATTTAAAGGGCCTTATGGCCGTCATTTGTGCTCACCCAACCCTTAGAGAGAAACCCTTGAGTGCTTGAACGTTCTGAGAGAGAAAGGAAGCATTTCTTGACCTTGTGTGTGTTATTTAGCAAGAATGAGAAGGTTCTAGACAAGAGGAATCAAAGGAGGTTGCTATACTGTGGATTTGAAGCTTAGATCATCGATCTAGAGGTATGATTTCGGCTCATCTTCTGTTTTGTGAAGTATAATGGGATTTAGGGTTTCTTATGGACATTATTGGGTTGATTTGATGCCAAATAGTTCCCTTCTTGTGTTGAGGCTCTGGATCTGGATCCATAGAGGTCCAGAGAGCCTCACTCATCAAGCTTTATGTATAGCAATGAAGTTTATGACCTTGAGTTGTAGTTTATGGGTCAAAAGCATCATATATGATCATATAGATATTGTATGTGCATCAAGATAGTGACTTTACGTGCTAAATAAGCTTGGAAGGACTGGATCTATGGGTTAATGGACTGGATCTGACCTTATGAGCAAGTTTGAGTCATTGCATGGCACGGACTCGCCGAGTCCGGAGAACAAACTCGGTGAGTAGTATAAATATTGCCCGACCATACAGCGAGTGGTCTTGCCGAGTTGGGGAGGGTTAACTCAGTGAGCAAGGGGGGAGTCAGAGTGGACAGGTGGACTGAATCAAGATGGACTCGCCGAGTTCTTCTAGAGACTCGGCGAGTTAAGTCGTGGTGGCCCCACAACTCATGCCAGGTGGAACTCGTCGAGTTAGGAGAATACTTGACGTGTCAAGGGAGGATTCCAGGGAAATCAGTGTATACGCTCAGACTCGCCGAGTCGCTATAGTGCACTCGCTGAGTCCGGTCAAAGTTGACCGTTGACCGTTGACCTAAGTTGACTTGTTAAAGAGTAGTCAACCTTAGTTGGGAAAGTGTTAATTAGAGATGTATTGTGCTATAGGAGGACTATAGCTCGGGAGATCGAGCACTAGTGATTTCAGGATTTACGACTTACCGAGACACGCGAGGTGAGTCTTCTCACTATACTTTACCTTGAGTAGGTAACCAGAGTTATGTGATAGAGTATTTGTATGCTATGTATGTTATATGTTGTACTGCATTATTTCTATGTGATTTATGCTGTGCATGTTTACAGAGTTAGAACCTGAGGGTTCATAGAGTTTGGGTGCACGGACCCACAGAGTTATAGCCTCGAGTGGCTAATATGTGTTATATGTGGTATTTTGGGGAAACTCACTAAGCTTTGTGCTTACATTGTTTGATGTTATTTGTTTCAGGTACTAGTGACGATCGCAGGAAGGCGCCGGCTTGATCAGTACACACGCATGGGAGTTATGATTTGAGATCTTGGGATTTTGTATTTACTTGAATTGGATAATTAAATGTGGTTGTTTTCTGAATATTAAATGAATTATGTTTTATAAAAATTTGAAAAATTTGTTTTGAAATTTACGGTGTTACACTTCAACTCCAGCGAACTGACACCACAACCCACTAAAGCGAAGAGACAGTGGGTTATGGTGTTTGTTTGCCAGAGTTAAAAGACCAAAAAAGAAAAGGATGATGAAGACTTCTATGTCATTAAAGATGGAAAGAAAATAGAAGTCGAAGAGGATGAGAGATGGGATGATGACCGGTGGAACCCAGATTAAATTTCTCAAATGTGGTTTCAGGTTTACGATGAGGATATACAAATATGTGAGGTGTATTAAATTTTTTAAACATATAAAAACCAATACATAAATAAGAAAATTAATTAAAAAAAATAAATTAATAAGGGTACAATAATCTTTTTAGGTAAGACATGGACTAAGCGCGCAACAAAAATAAATAATAGGGACCATCCGAGTTAAAAAAATAAGTTAAAGACCAAACGCACAAATTCCTCCAAACCATAAGGATCATTCGTATAATTTACTTTTACTTTTGGTTTTGTTCGTAATTATTTTTTTTTTATACGTCTAGGCAATGAACTTGTTGAAAGTATTCACTTATAATCATTATGATTTGCTATAACTGAATGTAATCTGCTATAGCAGATCATAATGGTTATATGTAAACAGTTTTAAAAAATTTGTTACCTAAATGTATTAAAAAAAAAAAAAAAAGATATAATTAACTATATTTGAACAACTCAAAAAATTAATTACCTTAAGTGTTATTCCCTTGATAATTATTAAGACATTTTTAGTATACTGTAATTCATTGTAGCAAGCCCCCTTACGCGACCAATATACCGTGTCCATTTTTTTGTGTTTGACCGACCACCCTAAAAAAATCCTCTGGATTCTAGTAACTTGCTTATCCTTTCCAATTTCTATTTCAACATATAAAAAGGGGTCCATCATTGTTCCAATCACAAAACAATTCGATCTGGGGAGGTTATTAATTGATCACCAGCTCCTTTTGAACTTTGAACTCGAGTTTGATTTCTTACTCGACATCACTGCAAAGCGAACAACGTTTCATTGAAATGTCCAGTTGAATTTCCAATCTATTAAAGCTTCGAAGTATATTGGTTTTGGTTGGTGGGTTACTAGTGAAAAAGTTGGATCCATTGATTCCAACTTTTCCCCTAACTCTTTGATCTTCGCATTTAGAGGAAGCGCGAAGTGTAATTTACGTTTTTCCAAGTTGGATCTGCTTCGTTTGTGATAGCTTTAATCAGGTACACACATTTTTCTGGTATATATCTTTAAAAGGGATTGGTAATCGTACTCCTGGGTTATTCATCGGTTGATTACAATCGAGTATTTTTCAAATTGAAAAAAAATAATAACAAATTCTCGGTTTAGTTCATCAGAATTCTGTTTCTGGGTTTTCACTTGTTCATTTCGAGCACTTTGTCGATTAATTCCAATTGGTTATACAAAAAATTCTTAATGTTTTTTTGGGGGATTTTGAGCTGTCGATTTCAACCTCACTGTCGCTTAACTGTAATTGGTACCTTCAAAATTGAACACAATACTGTCGACTTATTTCAAGCGAATTGTGTACGTAAGGTTTTCAATTGTTGATTTCAAGAACTTATCGCTTAAAACTACAACTGGGTATGCTCAAATTTTACGAAAATTTCTTAATTTCCTTCAAAAGAATCGTGTTAATAGAGTTTTCGATTGTTAATTTGAAGGTGAAATTGTGTTTCCCAAACGATCTACAACGGATTCCTCAATCAATAACCGCGTGTTTGTTTCGTTTGCTGGTCTGGAGTGCATATTAGGCATCATCAGGGCCCTGAGGATGGGGTCCTGCTTTTCTGTAGAAAGCAGGAGCCCTATCCCAAATTCTCCAACTCCAACTCTTGGGATTAAAAAGAAAAAGAATTCAAAAAAAAGGCCACCTGGATTAAGGAGTTCTTCATTTGATCATAGAAGGGAAGAACAACTCCATAGAGTTGCAGGTAGAATGTGCTTAAATGGTTCTAGTCAAGTTGCTTCTCTTTTCACTCAACAAGGCAAGAAAGGAACCAATCAAGATGCCATGATTGTTTGGGAGGTTTGAATTTGATTTTCTTTTCCCCTTTGATTTCTTTAAAATGAACTTATTTGACTTTTTCTTTTCTAAACCATTGATTTAATGGACTTACTTTTTCAGAATTTTGGGTCAAGAACAGACACGGTGTTTTGTGGTGTATTTGATGGACATGGGCCATTAGGTCATAAGGTTGCTAAGAGGGTGAGAGATTCACTTCCATTAAAGCTAAGTGCACATTGGGAAGTTAACCTTAAAGATAGCAATGATGTTCTTAAAGAGATCATCATGGGAAGCCTCAACTCTGAAGGGACATCCATTAATTCACCTTCACCCTTTGAAGAAACCGATAAGAACCCTGAAATCTTTCAAACCCTAAAGGAATCATTTTTGAAGGCGTTCAAAGTGATGGATAGAGAGTTGAGTATGTATGCAAATATTGATTGCTTTTGCAGTGGGACAACCGCAGTCACGTTGATCAAACAGGTGAGATGTCATGTCTCAGGATGTGGAGGGCATTTACGTCTTTTTCCACTTACAAGATATTAAGAAAAAATCTCTTTTCACATTCACACCTTTTTGGGTTTGACAAAAATTGCAACTTTTTGTCATATTCACATCATGTCAAATACAATACAACCTGTCATGTCATGTCTATGACAAACACAGTACAACCTGCTGTGTCTGGGCTTTAGGGTTATGAATATAATTAAAAAAAAATGGTTTCTTGTTTGGTTATAGGGTCAACATCTTATAATAGGAAATATTGGGGACTCAAGAGCTGTATTATGTACAAGGGACAAAAACGACTCTCGTGTTGCAGTTCAATTGACAGTGGATCTAAAACCAAATCTTCCAGGTTTCTCTCTCTTTTCTCTTTGTTTACAATGGACTCTTTAAGAATTGGATATTTAAAGAAATATAAAAGAAAGAAATAGCAACGTACTTTTATAGGTTCATTTATTTGTGTATTTTAGCATTCTTTTTTCGTTTCTTTCTAATTTCTATTGTCACGTTGTAATTTCAATTTATTCTTATTAAATAATGTACTTTGAAAAAATCTTCCTAATTAAAAGGCAACTAGTAGTAGTTTATTTCAATTGATTTGTTTATTATATTTATAGCATCTTACTTTCATTTCTTCCTATTACATCATTATACTTTGAAAAATCTTCGTAAGTAAAAGGCAACTAGTGATAGTTTACTTCCATTGATTTGTTTATTATATTTATAGCATCCTACTTTCATTTCATCGTATTACATCATTATACTTTGAAAAATTAATCAATTTATAGAAATGTCATCCAAATACAAATCAATCTTCAATAAGAAAAAAAAAAAATTCAAGTACAATGCTATAATTAGATAGATTCCCCAACATACAATGCCTTAATAAGAAAAGGGCTTTTGTCTTAAAAGTCCTTAAGTTTGTCAAAATGTGATGGTTTTGTACCTACGACGATTTTAGGTGCGTTAATGCCTAAAGTTTACCAAGATTTTTTCATTTTTGCCTTTAAGTTTACAAATTTGCACAAAAAACCTTAAGTTTACAAATCTTTTATGTTTTTACTCTTTAAGTTGTTTTCCAAATTTGACATGAAAGTCCTTAAGTTTGTCAAAATGTAACGGTTTTGTCCCTATGACGATTTTAGGCGTGTTAATGCCTAAAGTTTACCAAGATTTTTTCATTTTTGCCCTTAAGTTTTACAAATTTGCAAACAAAAACCCTTAAGTCTACAAATCTTTTATGTTCTTACCCTAACTATGTTCTCCAAATTTGACATGAAAGTCCTTAAGTTTGTCAAATTTTGTCGGTTTCGTCCCTAGAAACCTGCTATTACATGTAACAATCGCAAAAAAATAATAATAAAAAAATAAAAAAATAAAAACTTGGCAAACTTTGGGCATTAACGAACAAAAACTCGTCACACGGACAAAACCAACAAAATTTAACAAACGTAAGGACTTCAATGTCAAAAAGAGTGTTGTAATACATAAATGAATGAAAGTAGGTTGCTATTTCTTGCATATTTAGTTATGTTTTTTTTAATAAATGCAGCGGAAGCGGAGCGTATCCGTAAATGTAAGGGTCGTGTGTTCGCCTTGAAGGATGAACCCGAAGTGGCTAGGGTTTGGCTACCTAACCATGACTCACCAGGGTTAGCCATGGCTCGTGCTTTTGGTGATTTTTGTCTTAAAGATTTTGGTCTCATTTCAGTCCCTGAAGTCTCATATAGACGCTTAACCGATAAAGACGAATTCATTGTCTTGGCAACAGATGGGGTATTATTATTACTCAACCCCTCTTTTATTACCCATTAAGTCATGTCTGAATAAACGATGTCTCTTCTAAATGGAAGAAATGCCAATGTTCGTTTCCAAAAAAAAAAATGTTCTATCATCATGCTTTCATTTCTTCTTATCACAACCCTATTGCTATAAAAAACCGTGTAGATTTTTTTTTTGGTAACTTGTTCTTTCTGTATTAAGTCAAAAAGAAACAACAACCATTCAGATAAGTTAACTAACAAATTATTTATTTATTTATTTATTTTGAGTAGATTTGGGATGTGCTTACAAATGAAGAAGTGATTGAAATTGTGGCATCAACCGATGCACCTTCTCAAGCGGCTCAAGCCGTGGTGGAGTCAGCGGTTCGAGCCTGGCGGCAAAAGTATCCGACTTCCAAAGTCGATGACTGCGCGGTTGTTTGTCTTTTTCTCGGATTGGACACATCAGCAACAAAGCGGGACCCGGGGAAAAACGTGGAGGAAGAAGAGTCATCATCCACAATGAATATGGAAACGGGAAAAGACTGGTCTGCCCTTGAAGGGGTGTCTCGTTTGAACACATTACTAACCTTGCCAAGGTTCGATGAAGAAAACCGTGAACCGGGGGACAATGGGAAGATTTAAGTGTGGGTATTATCGTCATTTTGCGTTTTTGTCCATGTTTTTGTTTTTCAAGATTGTAAAGGTTTCAACAACAAACAAAAAACAGCCTCGTAAGGTGTGGTCTGGTTATTGAAGAACCCCGGCTGTTTTAGAGGGTTGGGGATATTGTTTATTTTTGTTCTCTTTCGGGAGGGTAGAATGGGAATTTTGTGAAACCAAATCTTGTCTTTTTTTTTTTGTTGTTGTTTCAGGATTGTGTGAATTGTCAATTAAATGTTATGTTGATTAAATTTTATAGTTATATCATCAATGTTATATCAAAATCTACATGAATAGTGTGTTTATAAGTGCTTAAATACGAAAAACATGAATGGAGATACTAAATGATGAGGAAGCCTATGTTTATCGCCTATCTGGCAAAAAAAAAAAAGTGCAATTTTTTCTCTCAATCTAAAAAGGTGAAACAAGATGATGATATAGACTGTTTTTTATTTATCATATGAGAAAAAAACATAACAACCATGACCATCAAGAATAACATAGAACACCAAACATCGGGTATGCTCTTGAGCTGAAATTCTGGAAGGTTACAATCTTAGTTGTATTTTCTTTCCACCAAGTGTTATCTAAACAAAGTATTGTCGAGTGATGTTTAAAAAATATTTGAGAAATGATTGAGAAATTGGAAAAGGTTGGGATTTAATGGGAAAACAACTCAAAACGTTATTCCTCTGATTTTCTCTGTTAAGTTACTTTTTGTATTAAGTCAAAAAGAAGCATCCATAAATGAGGTGTTACTTCAATATTTGTTTGATAAAGCTTACAATTATAAAAAAAGAACTTGCCGATATGGGACACTAAGGTTGCGTTTAGTTACGGAAAAACAATTTTCATTTTCCGTTTTTTGTTTTCCCTTTTCGATTTTCGTTTTCCGTTTTCATTGAAAAATTTAGAGAACGCGTTTAGTTAAACTTATTCATTTTTCATTTTCAGTTTTAGAAAATTAGAAAACGTGTTTAAATGTCTATTTTTCTATCGGTTTTCATTTTTAAAAAACGGTAGTGGTAGTAGGGTGTGGGTGGGGGCGGTGACGGTAGCGGTAGCGGGTCGGCGGCGGTGGTGGTGATGACAGGCGATGATGGTGGCGGCGTCAATTTTATCAGTGGTGGTGATGGTGGTGGTGCTAGTGACGGGTTAGTGGTGGTGGTGGTGATGGTAGGTCGGTGATTGTTGTGGTGGTGTTGGGTGGGTGGGGGTGCGAGTGTGTGTTTGTGTGTGTATGTGTGTTTGTAGGGGTAGGTGTAGGTTTGTGTGTGTGGGTGTGTGTGTCTGTGAGGGTGGGGGTAGGTGTGGGTGTGTGGGTATGTACGTGTGTGTGTATGGGTGGGTATGTATGTGTGTGTGTTTGTGGGTTGGTGTGTGTGTGTGTTTGTGGGTGGGTGTGTATGTATGTGTATGTGTGTGTGTGTGGGGTGGGTGGGTATGTATGTGTAAGTGTGTGTGTTTGTAGGTGTGTGTGTGTGTGTGAGTTGGTGTGTGCATGTGTATGTTGGTGGGTGTGTGTGGGTAGGTATGTATGTGTGTGTGTTTGTGGGTGTGTGTGTGTGGATGGGTATGTGTGTGTGTGCGGGTGTGTGTGTGTGTGTGCGGGTGTGTGTGTGTGTGCGGTGTGTGTGTGGGGGGGGGGGGTTGGTGTGTGTGTTTGTGGGTTGATGTGTGTGTGTGTGTGCGGGTGTGTGTGTGGGGGTGGGTATGTATGTGTGTGTGTGAGTGAGGGGTGTTAAGGTGGGGGTAGGTAGAAGTGGATGAGGTGAAGTGGGTGTGTGTTTATAGAAAAATTTTAGAATTAGAAAAATATGGAAAACAATGATTATCAGTTTTCCAAAATTTTCCAACTTGTTTGTACTTTTAGAAAACGGAAAATTTTCATTTTCCGTGAAAAATTTAGAAAAATAGACGAACTAAACGCGTTTTCAAAATTCTCATTTTTCTTGGAAAAATTTTCCGGAAAACGGCTCATTTTTCTGCAACTAAACGCACCCTAACACACCCCAAGAAACAGAGGCTCGATGAGATTCAACTAGATGTTTCGAGTCCCTCGATTAGATTGTAATATGATTTCTGAAGTCCTAAATTAATTCTAAAAGAGCCTTAAGAGAAAAAGTGTACACTCCATATATATATATATATATATATTATATATAATATATATATATATATATATATATATATATATATATATATATATATATATATATATATATATATATATATATATATATATATATATATATATATATAGACAACGTCTAGCCAATATGAGATACTAACAAACATCATATCATTTGTGACATTATGCTTTATCTTCCCATGTTATTAACATGACAAATCATAATGGATGTCAAATAGTGAGTATTACAACCTTACAAAATAAACAAAAATAACTAAGTTCAAAGTTAAAGGACCAGGCTATACAAATGAAACTTCAACAATATATTTAATGTTAAGGGTGGACGGCATGGGCAACTCCCAATTTCATTTTTGTGAGCTGGCAGTGGATAATGGCGTGACAACAGGGGAACCACCCCCCTTCCCGTTATGTGGGCTTTCGTTGGCGTTGTAACGATTGATAACGCGATTTTTTTTCTCTATTTCGACTGTTGAAAAACGATAACATTTATAAAACATCTTTACCTAAAAATTCATACTATTATCTGTTTAATCGCCACTTTTCTCTATTCCACATACTTCCAATACATTTCAAAAAAATGAATTTGTTCGATGATAGTAATGATGATGATATGTTTGTCTTTGTGATGTATGAGTATTGTATGAACGTGCTGCTACAACCAAATTCAGCTCCTCTATTAACCAGACGTGCGACATTAAACAGAGATCGCGAAGAATGGCACAAACGTCTAGTTCACGATTATTTTGCAGATAATTGTGTCTACCAGCCATGCAATTTCAAAATAATGTTTCGTTTGCGGAAAAATGTTTTTGTTCGGAGAGCCAACGCGTTGGAAAGTAGGTATTGTCTCTTTCAAATATAGTTTTTACATAATTTAAATACATTGTTTCTTTCAAATATAGCTTTTACATATTAAATACATGTTTAGGTGTCACACCCTCGAACCAGACGGCGGAAATATCCAAGGGCTTGGTATGACTTCATCTTTATAGTATCATCACATAGTATATAATTGAAACATAACATCATCATCATCATATATAATATTACAACATTATATTGTTTACATCGAATATTGTGTCTGAATATTACATGCCAAAATAGTTAAAATATGATTAAACAAAATATAACAAAATATCCATTAGTTTGTTTCGCTTAATCTGCTTCAACGGTTTCCTGAGAATACAAGTTAATTTAAAAAAGTTAACATAAAAATATTGGTGAGTTCATAAGCATGTTTGAGAAAATGATTTGTACAATTTTGCAATCACCAGAAAATCCTAAATTTTCTGAAAACAAATTAGTATGTTTGTGAAAATGATTTGTATGACTTTGTATCGCCAGAAAAATCTTGTGTTTTCTGAAAACAATTCAGTATGTTTGTGTCCGATCTTGTATTAATGCATGTGTGTTATTGTTTACTAGTATGCAAAAGAGAATGAAGAAAATGTAAAGAGAATGAACAGAGAATGCCCCCAGACAACCCTATGTTGTTTGTAAAAGAGAATTCGGGTATAACAACCCCCGAGGTTGAGTACCGGTGCGAGTATGTTCCCGAGTAATCCATTTAGAAAAGAGAATGGTCTCCCGTAAATTTATAACATTAATTCCTCTAAGTGAGTCGTTATAACCATACTAGATAATGAAAATTTCGCCTATCTTGGTGTTGTTGAACACCGGCGGAAAATATAATAAGGTTTTTGTCACCCTAGACTGGCCTAGTCTAACTGTAGCGAACAGCTCAGGTATGGGGTGTCATCTCCCCGTATAGATCTATACACAAACCCCCACTCTCCCTCCAAGAGACTCTGGTTATAACTACAGACTACGATCGTACACTTAATATGTGTCAACCAACACGACTCACTAGATCCTTAATCGAATTTACGCGAAGAGAAACATATAAAACACATTCCAGACCCAAATGAACATGTAAGTGAATGACTAAGTGACACTAAACATGTAAATCATTTCTAGGCTCATAAGGAATGAGATTATATAACCCAGGCCCAAAATATATGTAAAAGGACAACTAAGGCTCATTTCACATGTAAGGTATTTACAGGTCAAAATAGCATACAAAGAGTATACAATGTCTTTCGAGCATGTTAATGGGTCAATGAGACCCAATAAGCATATAAAGAGTATTCAGGACCTATCAAACATATAAATGGGTCACTAAGGCTCAATGATATGAAAAAGGCAAAATTAGCCCATTTGTTATATTATTGCTTGTTTTAATTTAATTATTTACCATAATGACATAAAAGACCCACTTTTTGTAAAAATGACATTCTTGGCCCATTAAGCCAAAAATTTACAATTAATGCTCATTTTTGGTAAAAATAGCATTTTAGGCCCCTTTTTGGACAAAACTTGCATCTAAGGCTAGTTTTTGTAAAAATAACATTTTTAACTCACTTTTGCCAAAAATATCATTTTTGGTTTGATTTTTATAAAAATATGTATTTCGGCACATAATCGATAATTTCATCTTTTTGGCCCAAATTTTTATAATTTCACATCTTTAACCATTTTTATCAAAAAAAAATTGTATTTTTGGCACAACTTTCTTGAAAATGACATTTAAGCTCACAAAAGATCAAAAATTACAATTTTTTGGGCCTAAAACCGTGAAAAGCCCAAATAAGGCCCATTTATGAAAATGTTTACATTTTTAGTCCTTGTAAGGTCTCAAATGTTGAAATTAGCCGTGAGTTACACAAATATTTGTCATTTTGTCACTTTTAGCCCTTTTTATGAAGTTTTTCTTAGCTTTGAGTAACTTATATGTATTTTAAACCTTTTTCTTGTAAGATAAGTTGAAATAAGTGTTATGTTATACCAATATCATCATCTTTTAGTAGATCGTTGAGTTCATGAAGTTGACAACACCTAAATACATATATAACTAGAAAAACACACATAGATCTACACAAAACAACTTGTATTCTCCCCCAAAACAAAGTAAAAATCGAAAATAGGGGGTATGAACTCACATTGCTTTCAAGTTTTCGGGTTTTGGTGAGGAAATGAGAAGATATCGGCCCTTGATGTGTTCTTGAGAAGATTTTCGAGATCTATGAAGTTCTAAGAGCATAGATCATGAAATGATGTTGGTTAAGAAGAGATTTTTGGTGTAAACTTGA